AGACAATTCTATGGAGCTATGCCAACAGGACCAGAGCTTTGACGAAGAGGCTTCATTTAGACTGTGCCTTGAAATGCACCCAAAATACTATCACATGAGCCGAGGTGGCGCAGTGGTTAGAGTGCAGTACTGCAGCTACTTCAGCTGACTGCTAGTTCAGCAGATCAGTGGATTAAATCTCACCAGCTCAAGGTTGACTCAGCCTTCCATCCTTCCGAGGTGGGTAAAATGAGGACCCAGATTGTTAAGGGCAATATGCTATTTAGTATGCTATCTTTGGTGTAAGCCGCCCAGAGTCCTCGGAGAGTGGGCGGCATAGAAATATTATTATTATTATTATTATTATTATTATTATTATTATTATTATTATTATTATTATTAATAATAATAATAATAATAATAATAATAATAATAATATAACAACAACAACAACATGACTATGATATGTGTGTATTCCTCTGTGTGTGTGTGTGTGTCAGGCATAACTTTGAGGATAGGCCATAAGTAACTTTTTTTTGAGTCTGTAACTGGGCCAGCTGTTAAGCAAGATATATATATATATATATGTATGTATGTATGTATGTATGTATGCATGTATGTATATGTGTATATATATATAAAATTACCAAGAAAGAAAGAAAGAGAGGGAGAGAGAAAGAAAGAGAGAAAGAAAGAAAGAAAGAAAGAAAGAAAGGAAGGAAGGAAGGAAGGAAGGAAGGAAGGAAGGAAGGAAGGAAGGAAGGAAGGAAAGGAAAGAAACTAAGAAAGAAAGAAAGATATGTATCTTGTCATTCTACTAAGTAGATGCACGGCTATTGAATCATGGAAAAATAGGAATATATAACATATGAAAAGTAAAAAAATAAAGTTTATTTTGATATAAACTAGACTGCTAATGATTTTCACAGATGCCACCAAGCTAGGCAAAATACCTAACATATACAAAAATACTAAAAATGAGTTTATTGCTGAGATTATTCATGACATTCTGACAATAAATGTATGCATATATGCAGACATAAACAAGAATGTTTAAGCAGTATAAAAATTAACAGCTTGATTCTAGCATACATCACAATAAATCTGTCCTCCATGTGCTAAAGGCTCATTTTTATAGCTTACATTTTCTGTATAAATGAGGGTCAAACCTAGGTTACATTAAATATGTAGCACGCAGCTGAACCTTGAAGGAGATCCTGTAGTTATAAGAGAAAAGATGTATAACAATAATAATCATAATACATGAAATATTAAGTAATACTGAGAAAAATAGAAATAGAAATGACATTCCATTGGTTGGAAATATTGGGAAGGTTTTAAGTAGTACAAAAGAGAATGAAAATATTGGTGAAATAAGCTTGACAGCCAAAGATCTGAATAATTCAGAAGGGAGCAATGAGTCATTGGCCAAAGAATAAATCCCAATGGACCATGTAGTACCATCTTCAGAATCAGGATTGGGAGAGAGCTTGAGAATGGAATTTATCTTTGTTGGCACAGCTTTGTCTTTGTGTTATCAGTTAGCATAGCACGAAGAAAAATGAATAGCTTCAGTTAAATCAGTTGTCTAGGTGGGTGACCTTTGCTTGAATAAATCAAATTGCATTGTAATTTTAACTTGAGATTGAGTACAAGGATGAAGAATTGGACAACTCATCAGAAATGTAGCCGTTTCTGGTTGGTCAGCTACTGGGACAGGCATTCTGAGATTATGATCATGGACACTGGAAGTCCTCCATTTGGAATAAGTTTTAAATTTTAATTATAACTATTTGTAGATCCTTTATGTAAAGGGAGGGGAATATATTAGAGTTTTGATGTATCTTTCAGCATTCAGCCATTTTTTTAAAAAACCTTTAATGTTGGATATATTTGGTATTTGGGTTGTTTTTTTTTTCTCGTACAGATGATTTTCCTCTTTTTTGTTGTTAGTGTTGGATGTTTCTTAGTCTGCTTCCCCCCCCCTTTCCTGTGTTTTATTTGCTGATAAAAATAAATAAATAAACATGTTTGAAAAGATGGAACGAGTTTTAAATTGCAGTCATTAAATCTTTCCTTTTCTGTATTTATCTGTGTAATCTCTCTCTCTCCCCCCCTCTCCTATCTATCTATCATCTATGTACCTATTACTAATCCCCCTCTCTCTCATCTATCTATCTATCTATCTATCTATCTATCTATCTATCTATCTATCTATCTATCTATCTATCTATCTATCTATCATCTGTCTGTTTATCTATCTATCTATCATCTGTCTATCTATTATCTGTCTGTCTGTCTGTCTGTCTGTCTGTCTATCTATCTATCTATCTATCATCATCTGTCTGTTTATCTATCTATATATCATCTGTCTGTCTATCTATTATCTGTCTGTCTGTCTATCTATCATCTATCTATCTATCTATCTATCTATCTATCTATCTATCTATCTATCATCTATCTATCTAGCATATTTAAGAAAATGTTAAGATATAACATTTTCACCCTTGTTTTTATTCAGAGATAAATCTAACATTTCTGCACAATTGTAGAATTACTACCCATGTTAGGCTCCTGTTCAGATGTTCTTTGCATTTATTAACTCAATAATAAATAAAGAAGCATTCAAATGCCAAAGTAAGTTCTCTCTCTCTATGTCACTTAAACACACACACACACACTCCTACACACACACACATCTACACACTTCATCCACAAAGCTACTTCTCCACATTCCGTACCATCTGTCAAGGGCTAATGAGTTTCTGCATAATAGTGGCACTTTGCAATGTGGTTATCTTTAGAAACATCATAAAGAGATTTCTTTTTCAAAAGTGACAAAAGGTTGGTTTCACAATCCTAAAATATCTGTAATAGAATATTAGTCTGCTATGCTGGAATAATGTTCCCAGAACTGTCATATAACAGCTCAGTTTGCGGTATTACATTCCATGCAAGAGTTGGTGTGCACAGTAGTCTTGGTATTTAAAGAGTGTTAAAACCTGTTTCCAGTGAACAATTTCTACCAAGGCGAGCCAAATGGATGTTCCCAAGACTCAATTGAAAACTATGAAAGATACGAAGATCTGCTGTGTGATTTCTCAAGACGATGGACAATGTGGAACTATGTTGCTCTAACAACTCCCCGTGTGCAGATAATACTAGTTCTTCCAAAGAAAAGAAAGAAAACTGACAAAATTTTATAACATTCTCCTTTGCAGCCACATGGTTATCACCGCAACTAGCAAACAGATGTTACGTTACAGGGCCAAAATTCTCTGTGTTCAGTTGGACAGGAATTTCTGTCCTCAAATATCTGTTAAGAAAATAAGCCAATGAACAGCAATGCTAAATTCAGGTTTGTTTTTAGTGGCTTAGCTCTTCATGCTAGACCTTAAACCAGGGGTGAAATCCAGCAGGTTCTGACAGGTTCTGGAAAACTGGTAGTGGAAATTTTATGTAGTTTGGAGAACCGGCAAATACCACCTCTGGCTGGCCCTAGGGTGGGGTGGGAATGGAGATTTTGCAATATCCTTCCCCCAGGAGTGGGGAGGGAATGGGGATTTTGCAGTATCCTTCCCCTGCCATGCCTACCAAGCCACACCCACCAAGCCACACCACATCCACCAAGCCACACCCAGAGAACCAGTAGTAAAAAAAAATTGGATTTCACCACTGCCCTAAACCATGCTTTACAAGTCATATACAATGGTGACAAGAACATTGAACAAAACACATATTAGCATAACGAATATTCAGAATTTTTAAATTGGATTTGTGGGTGAGTTTAAACAGATTAATTTGTATTTTTAAAAAAAGTACCATAAACATATGCCTAACTGTACCCAAAAAGTGAATTACAGGGCTGAACTGATGCTTACTAATTTAGAAATATTTTCCCCCTAACATAAGTTTGACTTCAGAGGACGTTTGCTTAAAATGCTTGCTTTTATTTCAAATTCCTCTAAATTCTGCTTGCAGCCTTGAATTGGTTTGGCAGTTAAAAATACAAAATGGTTACTTCAATGCTTTATCGTTTGTAGGCCCTCATTTTCTATTTTTATTCTATTTCATCCAAAGGACTAATAAATAAATTAATAACTAGGTATATTATCTATGAGCCATGGTGGCGCAGTGGTTATAGTGCAATATTAGAGTCTGACTCTGCCCACAGTTTGGAGTTTGATCCTGATTGGCTCAAGGTTGACTCAGCCTTCCATCTTTCTGAGATTGGTAAAATGAAGACCCAGATTGTTGGGGGCAACATGCTGATATTTGTATATTGCTCAGAGAGGGCTGCAAAGAACTATCAAGCGGTAAAGGTTCCCCTTGCCACATATGTGCTAGTCATTCCCAGCTCTAGGGGGCAGTGCTCATCTCCATTTCAAAGCCGAAGAGCCAGCGGTGTGCAAAGAAATCTCCGTGGTCATGTGGCCGACATGACTAAACGCCAAAGGCACACGGAACGCTGTTACCATCCCACCAAAGGTGGTATCTATTTCTCTACTTGCATTTTTTTATGTGCTTTCGAACTGCTAGGTTGGCAGAAGCTAGGACAAGTAATGGGAGCTCACCCTGTTACGCGGCACCAGGGATTCGAACCGCTGAACTGCCGACCTTTCGATCAACAAGCTCAGCTATTGTTATTGCTATTGCTATATCATAGAATATAAAAGCAGTCATCATTGGGCATTTACTAGCCAAAAGTTTTTAATCAATTTAATCTTCAAATTTTATGCAGCTCCCCATGCCTGACTGCAATCTGAAATTGGTAGCAATAATAGAAAGGAAAGAGAAGAATTTGAAAGAAAAATAGGTCTAAAAATTGTAAGGAGAAAACCATTGGGGAAAAAAATAATAATAATAGCCCATCACTTGCCTTTCTCATTGATGTTTAAATTACTTGGGAGGAAAAGTTACATGGGACATGTAGAGCGTTCTTGCAGACAGCCATTCTAGCATGCTGATGCCCAAATCTCTATCTCTCTCCCAGTTGCCATTCTCAATTCTCCCCTACTCACTTGCCATTTAAAGCTGCCACCCCAACGGTGCTTCTGGCAATGGACATATTGGCCACAAAGGTCCACTGTTGACTTTGTGGATCCCACCTCTCGACTGTATTCAAATAGCTCCAGCCATCATGACCTCCTACTGCATAAATGGGCCCTTCAAGAACAGTAACTCCTAAAAAGAAGAGGCAGAGAAAGAACGTGAGAACACAACCAGCAACAGAAGGAAAGACTTCTAAAGGCGTAACGAGAGGTCCTTGGTGCTCTCTGAGCTTGGTTGTTTTCTTGCAGATGTTTCATGACCCAAATGAGGTAACATCGTGAAGGCTAATGAGAAATGCAAAATATATCATGGGCCAATGTAGGGGGACATGAAGTACTGGCCAGGTCCTACTGACCTGGAGGTCCTAATGAAGGGACATCTTAATTCCATAGGTTGCTTAGGTAGCAGAGAAACATAAAACTTTAGGCTAGGGGTGGGAAATCTTTCTCTTTTGGGGGGAGGGTGTTGTTTATTAATGCAGTTTATTTTCCTTCTGGGAGCTATGGGGACATGGCCAGGGGTGGGCCATGTCCCCATAGATTCTGTGCAGTTTGGAGAATCCCAAAATCCCACTCCTGACTGGCTCCGCCCACCCCACCCCTCCCAGGAGTCCCCACGCGGCTTGTTTTGGATGCAGGTAAGTGCAGGGTGTGCACAGAGGTTCAGGGAGGGTGAAAAATGGGCCTACTGGAAGTTCGGGGACCTGTTTCCAGCCTCCAGAGGGCCTTTGGAGCTTGGGGAGGCTGTTTTCATCCTCCCGGAGGCTCAAGGAAAGCCTCCAGAGCCTGGGGACTGCAAAAACACTCCCCCACCATGGTGCAGGAGGCTGACTAGGCCACGCCCACCCAGCAACCAGGCAGAGAACCCCTTGCTAAAATTTTGGAAGCCCACCCCTGGACATGGCAGTGATGTAATATGATTGGTGAAATGAATACTGGGGGCTTTTACTCCGCTAATCATAATTGACTTTAGGGGATGCCGCTCATCTTCAATTCTAGACCATTGAGCCACAGCTCTCTGAAGACATTTCTGTGGTCATGTGGCCAGTATGACACCACACCGCAGCATAAAGCGTACAGTAAAACATGGAACACTGTTACCTTCCTACCGAAATGGTACCTATTTATCTACTTGCATTTACATGCTTCGTAATTGCTAAGTGGGCGGGAGTTGAGGCAGGTGACAGGAACTCGCTCTATCACATGGTAGTAGGATTCGAACCACTGGAGTACAGACCTTCTCCAGCATCTTTTACACCACTGAGCCACCCTGCCTTTAAAAAAAAAAAAAAGATTTATATGCCACCCTTCTCCGGAGACTCAGGGCGGCTTACAATGCGTTAAGCAACAGCCTTCATACTTTTGTATATTTTATACAAAGTCAGCTTATTGCCCCCACAAACTGGGTCCTCAATTTACCCACCTTAGAAAGGATGGAAGGCTAAGTCAACCTTGAGCCTGGCAAGATTCGAACTTACTTTAATTGCAGACAGCTGGTGTTAAATTACAGTGCCTTTGTCTGCAGAGCTATCCAGGCTCTTTTTAACATGATAGGGGACAGGGTAAATACTCTGAATGGGGCTAGGATTCATTTTACTTTTATTTACATTTTGTTACTTCTCCCTTTAAAAAAAAAAAAAAACATGAGGCTTGATATGCCCAATATGTGCAATTTTCACTATTTTATTTTTTTTTTAAAGAAAAGTGATTCTGAAAATACCAGTTTGAACTGAATTTTGGCTCAGCAATCTGGAGATGCGGCCAAGGTCACAAATCAGGGCTGGCAAAACCATGCAGTCCTGCTGGTGAGAAGATTGCCCACAGAGAGTCATGAAAAAATAACTCAGGGTTTTTTGTTTTGTTTTTGGATATTCTTGTATACTTTAGATATCTTGTTTGCTAGTTACTTTTATTAATGGCTTGCTTTGTTCTTTAGAATTTGACAGAGACCCCAGAGAAGGCTTCACGTGCGTGAAGCAGATCTCCTTATTCCCAAGACTGAGATACTTGACCCAACATTTTGGAGCTTGAGTTAAATATATTTTTTCGCCCTTCCTGAAAGTTCTCCAATATGCCTATAATAGCTTTATCCAAGAGCAGAATAGTTCCAATACTTCTTATATGCCAAGGCTATATAAAAATACTAGGTAATGAATCTTGCTGATCTTTTCTTCTAAGGTTTTGAAATTTTTGAAAGAAGAAGGTCTCCCAACGACCCAGAGTTTTAAAGAAAGAAGAAGTTAAACATTAAATCTTTCCTTCCTGAAATTTTGCCATTAAGCTAGCAGTGGGGCAGAAGGATGGGTGGAAGGAAAGGGAGTGCTAAAGTTGTGTAGTCACAACTGGGGCACAAAGCCGGATCATTTTCTTCTGCTGTGCATTTCCAACATCTGGATGTTGAACGTAGAAAATACATTCAACTCTCTTGGCTCCTAACATTGGGATGGTTTATCCTGCTTTTCCAGGCTAACAAAATCAAGCTCAATGGAATAGTTGTAAAGCCAGATAGCATCTCCCATGCAGCTCCTCTGTCACAGTAGACCACCTGTCCGCTAAATGACAGCTTTTCATTCTTCTTTAATGCTCACGTGGGGACCATTAGATCTGCAGACAAAATGAATCCTGAAACTATATGGCTTATTTTCAGACTTCCCATCTCTTAATCATCTTAAGGAATTCTAAACTTTATGCCGTGTTAATGGAACACGTCGTTTTAAGGGGCTCTTATATCTTGTTGAGATAACTGAAGATGGATACTTCTCAGGCAGAACAGACGGATAAAAGAGATATGTAAAAGTAAAGGTAAAGGTTCCCCTCACACATATGTGCTAGTTGTTCCTGACTCTAGGGGGCAGTGCTCATCTCCGTTTCAAAGCTGAAGAGCAAGCACTGTCTGAAGACGTCTCCGTGGTCATGTGGCCAGCATGATTAAATGCCAAAGGCACATGGATTGCTGTTACTTTCCCACCAAAGGTGGTCCCTATTTTTCTTACATTTTTATGTGCTTTTGAACTGCTAGGTTGGCAGAAGCTGGGACAAGTAGCAAGAGCTCCCCCTGGTAAGCGGCACTAGGGATTTGAACCGCTGAACTGCCGACCTTTCGATTGACAAGCTCAGCATCTTAGCCACTGAGTCACCATGTCCCTTTTATTCCAAATGTACCTAAAGCTAAAATAATTTTTCCTCCAGTGATGATTTAACTTCCTTCTTTTAAACTTTGTTTAATTCAAGCAATATCTTTCTGTCTCTCTCCCTCCCTCTCTCTCTTTCATCTAACTCTCTTTCTTTCATGCATCCCTCCATCTATCTATCTTCTGTCTTCTATCCATCTATACTTCCTTCTTTAACCATGAGGTCCAAATTAGCCTAAGCATGGAGCTTTCTCTGGTTGACTTTCTGACAATAGAGCAGCCATTCTCTTAGGTATGAAGAAGTCTTTGGATAACACAAGATTAGACTTTTTACAATTTACAACCTCAACTGGGACTGGAATTTCAGTTGCTAAGTGAAAAACATGAAAAATATCTCAGCTTTTTTGGATATTCCTGTATATTTTAGATACCTAAAGCAGAGTCATTAAGCAACTCATCACACAACTGGATCCAATTTTTACAATCATGAGAGTTAAGTGAATCACATGGTTAAGCCAGTCTGGATCCCCCCATTGACTTTGCTAATCAGAAGCTGGTTGGGGAAAGTTGCAAATCTTGATCAGATTCAAACTGTGATTGTGTGACTGTGGGAGTGATGTGATAGTTATAAATTCAAGATAGGTTGCAAGTCATTTTTTTTCCAGCACTGTTGTAACTGTTGTTAAACAAATGGTCATAAGCTGAGAACTACCCGTACAGCACTTACCCGTATTTTTCAGAGTATAAGACACACCCGGAATATAAGACGCACCTTAGTTTTTGGGGAGGAAAATAGGGGGAAAAAATTCTGTCTACCAGGTATCTGGCTAGTCCCAGTACATTACTTCACTCACTGGTTTTGAGGTGGGGGCTGTGCTTCTAAAACACAGCTGATTGTCGGAGGAAGCAGCAATTAGAAAAGCAGGCAAAGTACAAAAGATGGCTTCGCTCACATTGGGGCTGAAAAACAGCTTTAAAAGCACAGCTGATCCTCGGAGGGAGCTCCAGTGAGTAAAGCAGGCAAAGCGCGGAAGGGGTAAGAGAAGGCAGCAGCTGTTCCGGGAAGCCATTTTGGGCACCACGCGGGGTTACATTCGGAGTATAAGATGCACCAGGGGTGAAATGCTCCCAGTTCGGACCGGATCGCCTGATCCAGTAGCAATGGTGACAGGTGATTCGGAGAACTGGTAGCAAAAATCCCTGCGCCCCCCTCCACCATGCCCAGCTGAGCCGCACGATCATCAGAGGGTTTTTTTTTTTTTTACTTTTAAAAGCATTTTTTCTACAACCTCTTCCGACGAAAAAATGCTTTTAAAAGTAAAAAAAGAAAAAACCTCTGATGATCCCACGGCTCACCTGGGATCGTCAGAGGTTTTTCAAAGCATTTTTTTCTCCAACCTCTTGGCCGAAGAGGTGGTAAAAAAAATGCTTTGAAAAGCCTTTGACGATCCCAGCTGAGTTGCCTGATCAGCAGAGGCTTTTCAAAGCATTAGAAAAAATGCTTTGAAAAGTTAAAAAAAAAAAGTTGACCACGCCCACCCAGTCACATTACCCCACCCACCCACCAAGCCACACCCACAGAACCGGTAGTAACAAATTTTACATTTCACCCCTGAAATGCACCCAAATTTTCAGCCTCTTTTAGAAGGGAAAAAAGTGTGTCTTATACCCTGAAAAATACGGTAGGCAACTTCTAGGATAAGATGATGTCAGAATTAACTGAACTTTCTTCTTCTGTCCAGAAAGAAAATTTATTGTTTGTTTCCAACCTAATTCTGCCAATCTATGCACAGATATCCAATACTAGGCCCAATAAAGAGACAGTGTGAAACTATTTGATGCTTTTTACAGTCTGGATGTGCAGAGAATATAATATAAGACACCACAACGGCCTTTTGTTGAAAAGAAATAATAAACAGGAGAATCATGTTTATTTCTTTAGCCGAGGAGTCTCATTATAGGAGAATCTCCAAAAATCTTACTTTCCATCAGTTCCTTTGAA